GCCTCAATCCCTTCTCCTCCATTCTCCTCTCGGGATCTTGGGCATGCACGCACACATGCCCGGCATGAGTTCTAAGCCACCAGATCCGGGATGCGAACTGCGGTCAACTATGTGGGAGTCCAGCAACATAGCCATTACGCTAACTGCTGGTTCCCAAAATAATCTTTTTTTAAAAGAATTATTTTATTGGGGCCAGCAGGTGGTGTGGTGGTTAAGGCAGCTTGGCTCCCACATGGCTGATTGTGTTTGGAGTCCTGGACCTGGCAGCTTGCTTTCTCACTTTCCCCCTCTGCCTCTTTCTGATCAATGTCCAAGAAAGTAAATATAGGGACTGGCAGGTGGCATGCTGGTTAAGGACGCTGAACTCTCACATGGCGACCACGGTTTGAGTCCTGGACCTGACAGCTTGCTTTCTCACTCTCTCTCTCTCTCTCTCTCTCTTTTTCTCTCTCACTCTGTCCCTCTCTGGTCAAATTAAAATAAATAAACAAAGTTAAATAAAATAATTTTTTTTAAAGTAAAAGTAAAATAATGACAACGCATGAAATTAAATAGTTCTTTAAAAAAAAAAAAAAGAATTATTTTGGGGCCAGCAGGTGGCATGGTGGTTAAGGATGCTGGACTCCCACATGGTTGACAGCAGTTCAAGGCGGCTTGCTTTCTTAACCATCATGCCACCTGCCGGCCCTGAAATTAAAAAAAAAAATTTTTTCTTTTTTTTTTAAAAAAAAAGGAAGAAAATGAATTAAAGTTGTTAAGCACAGCCCCCGCTGTGGGCAGAGTAGGTAGTCAGCCCCACTGACTCTACTGACAGGCTGGCTGTTCAGAGGGAACTGGTCTGTTGGCCCTGGGGTGAGTGCAGGTGCTAGGCAGATGAGTGCTGTCTGGTGGCCTAAGCAATTATCATGCCTAAAAGTGGGAACACTGGGCTGCAGGCAGACAGGTGAACCTAGGAAACAGACCCTAGGAGTGGGAAGATGCCAGGCAGCCATGAAGACCCCCCGGGCCATGGGCACAGTGACTAACAAAGCCATTTTGTTGAACAGCCAGTCCCAGCAAGCCACAGGGAAGCACTCACTGGGCAGCCCCATCGTAATCTCCGCCGATCCCGATGAACTTGGATCCAATGGCTGCCTTGATGTGGTCGAAGTGATCTGAGGGAAAGGAGAATCAGCAGTGGGGGGCTTCCAGGGCAGTGGTGCTGCCGGGGCTGGACTCTGCTGATCCCCCTTCCTACAGCCTGTGGGCCATGCAGGCCGGTTCCTCCACGGCCTGGCACCAGGGTGGCAACTTGATCCCAGTTGGCTCTAGATTGGACTTCATGTCTGGAGTGGATCCCAGAGCCACTCATTTGGGACACTTCCCATCCAGGAGCCACCCTGTCTTATCTCCCTGAGAACCTGGTTGGGGGTGGGAGGGACTCCTTTCCAGGAATGTGAGAAATGATAGTGGGGTAAAGAATACAACTGAGGGAACCAGCAGTTAGCATAATGGCTATGTCGCTGGACTCCCATGTAGTCGACCGCGGTTCGTGTCCCGGACCCGGTGGCTTAAAACTCACGCCGGGCGCGTG